ACAGTACAGCCCTGGTCTGGTCACTTTCCTGCTTTAAAAATTTCCATGACTCCCCAATTAAGGTCTGATTTCCTTTTTCTAGTGTTCTCACTTCTGTCTCATTTATCACTGCTCTCTTGACATAGACTTTTGTGCCATAATCAAGGTACTCTCCTTCCTTCCTACCTTCCTTCTACCTTTATTCATCTAACAAATATTTACTACTGCTTTCTACATGCATGACACTGCACTAGGCACATATGGCAATGGCAAGGCAAGCTAGTGGGTGGACACAGACAAGTAAATACTGCAGGGTGAGAAATGTTGCAACAGGGAGAGTCCAGGGAGTCGTGGGAGCACCTAGAGGGGTTGCCAAATGCAGGCTTGAAGCATCAAGAAAGCTTCTTGAGGGAGGAGGTCATGAAGTCAAACCCTAAGGATGAGTGGAAGCTAAGAGACATATAGGGTGGTAGTTGTGAGGAGGACGGAAGAGGAAAGGAAATGCCCCAGGGAGAAGGAACAAGCTTGCGCAAAAGCTAAGAGGCAAAACTTTTGTGGTTATGCTCCATAGATTGCCGTTCAGATAGATTTAATGCAGAAAGTGCCCTAGAGCTCTGCAAACTTGGCAAAAGAGAGAGCACTGAGTCCAAGGAAATGAGAGCAGGCCAGCATGTTTTAGCAAGTCTCACTGGACTTGGTAAGGAGAAGCTAATCATAACAATGAGACTTGGGAGGTAAGGGGTCAGGTGGGGAGACAGATTGCTAAAGACCTGGTGAAGGATGAAGGCTTTAGGCCAGAGTATTCCTCCCTCTGCCACAGATACTAATGCTCCTATCTCTTCTCATTGAAATCCTCCAAGGCTCAGTAAAGCATTTCTCGGTTCCTCCAGTTGAAATGAGCCCCCCAGCTCCTTGAACTGGGCTGTGGTTCTGTTCTGACAGGTCCTACCTCTGCCCTGCTGAGACCTCCTTGTGCACTTATCCCTCCCCTCCTTCCAGCTCCCTTGCAGCTGTGCTACCTAATTGTATCTCCCTCACCTTCTAGCCCAATCACTGAGTGTTTAGGAAATGTTTGTGGAATGAAACAGGATTTGCCATATTTTCGTGATCATACACTGTTTTATAAAAACGAAAAGATGAAGACAGCTAGTCCTCACTTTACATGTACGTATTTATGCATAGCAACATCGAACATTTATTATAGGTATTTACTGGCTGCCACACACAGTTCTCAACATGTTACTTATTTTAATTTCTTTTGTCCTCAGAGCAACCCAGAAATTTGTAGGCACTCTTTTTTTTTTTTTTTTTTTTTTTTTAATTTTCCTTCATAAAGGTGTAGAAACCGAGGTGCAAAGAGTGAAGTAATTGACCCAAGGTCACTGAGCTGGCAAGTAATGGAACTGGATTTCAGATGTAGGCAGTCTGGCTCCAGAGCCCGTACTCTCAATGTGACCCTCCCTTGCTCCTGTACATGCTGAATTGGTACAGCAGTGCATTTTTATATACATATTCCAAGCACTCCTATATTACATGCGTTGAAAAACATACTAAATAGAACTTTGAAGTACATGAGTTAAAATATTTTCTTACATCCTAGGAAATAGTTCTGTGTACCCTACCTCGGAAACCACTTAAATTCAAAGTTGCCAATGAATAAGAGGAAGGAAATTAACATGTTTCCAATAATAACTGTACCTCACAGAAACTCTGCCTGGCACCTTGTTAGGGGCTCCCGTATGTTAGTTATGAATATTCAGGGCAACCCAGAGGCCTGAGGAGAGAAGACCAGGGAATGCATGGGAGAAAGGAGAGACAGGGATGAGGCCTGGGAGGGCACAGTGCCGTTCTGCCGTTCTCATCCCAGGGCCCCTGAAGTTTATGATGGAACAATTTACTTAGTTCTGGAACTATTTATTTCGTAAAGCTTGACAGATTTACTCAGGAAGAGGCTGTAACAAACACCCTGAAACAACATATCGTGTTTCTTAATTTTTGTCTGAAATTCTAACAACTCAGTGTGGTATGGGACTGGTTATCTCAAGCTCATCAGAAGCTCTGATTGAAGATTATATTGTGTCTTTGGTTAATAAAAGATGAGGAAATGAATGTATATTGGCTTAATAAATGTGGCCTGGTAGACAGAATCTTTCCAAAACTGGAACCATAGGGGGAGTCACGAATGGGGTTCTTGGTGGGGTGGTTTTGTTACCTTTAATAGACATTTGGTGAGCACTAACCACTTGCTTATGCATATTGTGTACTCACATACATGATCTTTAGTCCTCATAGCAGCTATATAAAAGGTAGGGATGTCAGGTGGACAAATTACAAATGAGGGGCCAGGCGTGATGACTCACACCTGTAATCCCAACACTTTGGGAGGTTGAAGCAGGCAGATCATTTGAGGTCAGGAGTTCGAGACCAGCCTGGCCAAAATGGTGAAACCCCGTCTCTACTAAAAATACAAAAATTAGCTGGGTATGGTAATGCACACCTGAAATCCCAGCTACTGGGGAGGCTGAGGCAGGAGAATCGCTTGAACCCAGGAGGTGGAGTTTGTAGTGAGTCGAGATCACGCTACTACACTCCAACCTGGGTGACAGAGACCCTGTCAAAAATAAATAAAAAATTACAAATGAAGAACTGGAAGTATTTTTCCTAATATCATAAAACTAATAGGAGGTGAGGCTGTGATACAAATCCCATTTCTGTTGAACTCCAAAGCTCACTCCACAAATGCACTGTACCCCAAGAATATACTGTATACTTTCATGTAGGAGACAGATACAGATAAATAGAAACACAACAGAGCAGATATGTTAGACCTGAAGACAAGGTTAATTCAGAGAAAGGAATGCGGAATGTTCAACCCTCTAGCACCAGGTGGTCAGTGGTGTCAGGGAAGGCAGGCTCTCAAGGTGAATCGGGAATGCTGGCTTAAAAGATTGTATGGTGAATCATAGCCTGAATTTTTAGGTAAAGAGACCAAAACACAGAGGAAGAAGCCACCCAGAGGTTGTACCTTGGGCATTGATTTCTGCTGCTTCAATTCTTCTTGCTGAATTTCTAGCAGCCAGATGGCACACACAGCAATTCGGTAAAATGTCACAAAGTTAAGCTCAGGGGTTAACCTTAAGAGTCATGGAACCTGGGGCCAGGCACAGTGGCTCACACATGTAATCCCACTACTTTAGGAGGTCAAGGCAGGCATATCAAGAGGTCAAGAGATTGAGACCATCCTGGCCAACATGGTGAAACCCCGCCTTTACTAAAAATACAAAAATTAGCTGGGTGTGGTGGTGCGCATCTAGGGAAAAAAAAAAAAAAAGGCTGGCCGTGGTGGCTCACACCTGTAATCCCAGCACTTTGGGAGACTGAGGCGGGCAGATCACAAGGTCAGGCATTCAAGACCAGCTTGGCCAAAATAGTGAAACCCCATCTCTACTAAAAATACAAAAATAAATAAAAATTTAAAAAATTAGCCGGGCAGGTGGCAGGTGCCTGTAGTCCCAGCTGCTTGTGAGGCTGAGGCAGGAGAATCACCTGAACCTGGGAGGTGGAGGTTGCAGTGAACCGAGATTGTACCACTGCACTCCAGCCTGAGTGACAGAGTAAGACTCTGTCTCAGAAAAAAAGAGTCATGGAACCTGCAAAATCCTACAGGAATTGGTGACTGTGAACCAAGTGGGCTGCTCTTGTGTGGACAGACCACAAAAAGCTTCCCACCCTACCCTGCAAATAATCAGCCGCTCTCTGTGCCACCTCCCTCTTAGAGCCCCGCTGAACGTTAAGATGGCCCACTGGGGCTGCGTTATTTTTCCTAAGGTTCAGTCTGTTTGAAAAGCTGGATAGATATGACTATGTTATAAACCTTCTGTCACTCAAGGCAGGAGAAAATGAGCAGCGCTTGCTGTAAGTGGTTGCATTGTCTTGTACTGTATACTTTTATATGTCTGTGCTTATGTTCCCTCTCTTGTAGACGATGTACTGCACATGTTGAAAGGTTGGCCACAGATAAGACTGCAAATTGTCTGAGCTCAAAGTTCTTGTCCCAAGCCATCGCCTCCTCCTTCTGAAGAGTTGGGAGTTTGCTCATATAACTATAGAAAGCTGGGGTTTTAGAACCATGGCATGGTAGAAACTTGGGGTCAAACTCCTTTACAACATCTTGGAACTCACGCACGAAATGTGAGTGTCCTAAAATTATAGAATGTTCTCATCTTTGAACATTAGAACTTAAGAATCCTAGTATGTGAGACCCCCTAGAATTAAACTAGTCAACAAATACTTCTACAAGCCTACAATGTACCAGGCAGTAGGTTAGATTCTGGATATAAAGACATGAACAAAATTTCCTAAGGGTCTTGCTTTCAGGGAGGTTCCGGAGAATGTCAGAATTTAAGAATCATAAAGTGTGAGGTTCTTAGAAAAACAAAACATTGCTGTGTTGAAATCCTAGACTGCCAAAGGTAGATTGAAGCCTTGGATCATTCTCTCCAGCTCTCTCTAGCTTTTTACGAGGCCTAGGGCCTGTTCCAGGCAGGTCGGAGTAAAATCTCAGTAATAAGAACATCATTTCAGTTCGGTGACATCACAGAATGGCCAGCTCATAGGGGGTCAGGGATCACCCAGTCACCACTGCTGCTTTTATCAGCGAGGCCACTGAGGCTCAGAGAGGGGCAGCGGTTTGATAGATCACATGGCCCTGTCAGGACTAGACCCTGGGTTTTCAGGTGTGTCTTAAAGAATAGGCAGAACAGAAAAGGCTTTCCATGTGTTTCCGAGATTGCCATTTGCCAGCCTGCGCTGAGGCCCCAGCTCTTCAGAAGGAGTTTGCGGCAACTTGCCCTGCGGAGGCATCAGCCCCGCCCCCGGCCCACGTGTGCAGTAGATCGCCCGTGTTGGGAGCCCCTCCTTCCCGTTGATGCGTGTTTTATTTTGCTCCCTCCCCCTCCCCGTGTGCCTCAAAATCAATTTTCATTATTTTTTCTGTCTGTGTTTGTCTTTGTGGTTCGCAGGTGCTCCCTTGCATTGTTCATCCGCTTCATCAACCCCTATTGAGCAGTCCCCCTCCCCGCCCCCCTCCCCTCCGGCCAATGAGAGCCAGAGGCGGTTGCTAGGCAACGGTGTGGCCCAGCCAACCCCGGACTCAGACTCTGAGGAAGAGTTTGTCCCTAATTCATTCTTAGTTAAAAGTGGCTCCGCCAGCCTGGGGGTCGCGGCGAACGGTAAGTCCCTCTCTCTTCCTACTTTTGCGGGTTTGTTTTTTAAAACGTCCTTTCGTTGCCGATGCCTGCTTGGGCCGCTTGCCGGGGCGGAGGGGCCTGGTGCATGGTGGGCTCCGGGGGAGTTGGGGGCCTGGCGTGGCTCCGCGGGGCTCAGGCGACCCCGCTCTTGCCCCGCGGCGCCGCTGGAGTGTGCAGGAGTTGGGGGGCTGTTTCTCTCCCCAACCCACATAACAGACATCGGACAGGCAGATGTACGGACAAAGATGCACAGACAGACACCACAAGAAGGAAACATCAGGTGAAGGCCAGACAGGTAAAGGTAGAGACAAAGATTGACACAGACAGAAAAAAAAAGGTTAAGACACCGGCAACACTGACCAACTACCTACTGTGTGCCAGGGACTGTGCCAGGCACTGTCACAACCATGCCCAGGAGATTCAGTATTTTAGTGTCCCCATTTTCACTGAAAAAACTGAGAAGGATGACCCCATTACCCATAGAACAGCGCTGGCTTTAAAAGTTCTCCACTTTCACAGAGCCTGGAGACAGGCAGCCCTGAAGCCCCAGGCAGCTGCAGGGCTAAATGCTGGCTGCAGAGAGAACCACTGGGTTTAAGCATGGATCTGCAAGCTCTCTTATTCTGAGCTCTGCCCTGGCGTTCTTAAGGAGGGAGGTGGGGTATGGTGGAAGAGCTCCAGGGTGACCAGCTTGTATCCCCTGATCAGGTGCTGTTAGACTTGAGCCAAGGAGCTTGCCCTCTCTGTCCAGCAGAGGCCAGTCCACTTCTTTGCAAGGAAGCCCCGGAAGGAATTCAAACCTCTAAGAGGTGGGGCAGGATGTACATGAGGTAACCTAGGATCACCTTAATAGCCCCAGGATTTCCTGATGCTAGGACAAGAAGAGAGGAAATGAAACTGCTTCCCCACAAATAACACTGTAGGTTGTGTGTCAATTTGGCAAACATTTATTTATATAAGTGTTTGTGTGGTACTAAGTTCCAGGCCAGATTCTGAAAAAGGAGGCAGAGGTTCAGAAAGGGATAAGACAGTCTATGGGTTCTGGAATCAAACAGCTTTGAATTACATACAAACTTTGTTGCTGTGGGACATTAGAAAAGTCACATTGCCTCTCCAAGCTTATTTCTTCAAGGGTAAAGTGGGCATTGGAGTGCCCACCTCATGATGAGCACCCATCACAGTGCCTGGAACAGAGAAGGAGTGTGGTAAATGCTAGTCATTGCCTAGTCCCCTCCACCTGCCTCTAGGGGATTTATAGACAGCCTGTCTGTGAAATCTCCCAGCACACTGCCTGGCACTTGGGGATGATCCAAGAAATGTCAGATGCCATCTTTTCTCTTGGGAGTACATCATTACAGCCCAAGGTGGCAAAGGCGGTAGGAACCTAGTATGTTCTGTGAGCGAGGAGGGAGCCTCTACTCTGCCTGAGAGAATGAGGAAATACCTCCTAGAGGAGGCACTCACAGGACTTGAAGGAATTAGTGAGGTGCGCCAGACAGAGATTACCAAGAATGCTCTGGGCAGAGGGAACACACGGACAAAGCACTTGAGGTGGGGACTTGGGAAGCCTGCCCCAGCCCTTTTAAACCTGGGAGCCTGGGCTGTACATAGGTGTGAACCTTGGAAGGGTCTGGAAGGCCATGTGGTGAAAGTCACCTGAGCTCTTCTGGGAACTGGCTTGAGTGCCCCCACCAAATGGCAATGAAGGGCGGTCATTACCCACCCACCTTTTCTAGTGAGGACCTCCCCGCTTCCGCGCTTCTGCTGTCTTTGACAATCAGAGAGATCTTTGTCCTTGATGATTCTCTTCTGACAGGATTTTACACCCTGCATTCTCCATGACCAAGACCCAAACCTCCTCCTTTTTTCTCAATGCTTCCTGGGGTGGGGTTGTTTTCTTGGTGGTTCAGTGTCCCTACTCCTCTATGCCTTTTAACTGCCTGTGTTTCAAATGATACACAGAAACAGGAACCCTGGGATGGGAGCGAGGAGACCTGGTTCCAGACCCAGCTCTGTGGCTCACTGGCTATTTATCTTTGGCAAATCACTGTCTTTCTAAGCCTCCGTTTCCCCATTTTGCCAGTGATGGAACAATCTCTAAGGTACCCTGATTTTAGGAGTGTCATGAGTTATTCCTGCCGGTAGCCTTCTTAAACTTTTGGAGTAGGGGGGAAATATATATATATATGTATATATATGTGTGATGATGTTCTTTGTTCATTTCTGAGTAAGCCTTACAAGTAGAAGAGAAGGCAAGAGATTAAAGTCCTTAATCTCTTCCTTTGCAAATTAACTGAACAAGAGCAATCGCTTTGTTGCAAGTTCTAAGGCAAATTGATGGCATTATTGCATTATTGATGTGCAGGGAAGGAGATGGGGGACTTTAGCCTGCAGCTGTCTGCTCAGGGCTGCTCCTGCATACTTCTGCACCCCAGGGGACCTTGTCACTTTGGATCCCTTCCCCAGGCCCTTGCTCTGAGTGTCACTCTAAAAGTTGGTAATAAGCATGTCTCATGCCTGAAGGAAGAGTCTGAGTCCTTACTGGTCTGTTGCTCTGGGGTTGGGATCACAAGAGAGCCCAATGAGTCTCTCTGCCATGGCTGGACCCTGCCTACTGCCTTCCTCTCCCCTGAAACCCCAAACCAGGGATCCTCTATGAGCCAAAGGACCTGCTGGTACTGGTGTGGACTCAGCACTAGTGAGTGAAGATGAGAGTGCCCTGGAACATAGACGTAGGGGGCCTAATAAATGCTTTTAGGGTTTTTAATTTGATTTTTTTTCATGGAAAAAATGTGAAATTATTTTAATGGAATTATCTTTATTGTTTCTGCCAATTATAAAAGTAGCAATGCTCATTAACATCCAAATAATATGAAGAGGTAAAATGTTAAGTTCTTTTATAATCCTTCCTCCCAGAGATAACTACATTTAACAGTTTGGTGCATGGTCTTTCAGAGACTGTTAATTTAGCGTTCATTTAATGAGTGAGTGAATGAACCAATGAGCAAGCAATGCTTAAGGACCACAGTGTAGCAGAGAGCTATAGCCATTGCTCTAGAGACAAGCCTGAAATTGGATCCCAGATGTGCAACTCGAGGCAGTGTTTCCAACCTCTGAGAGCATCAATTGCTCCATCTGTGAAATGGGAGAAAACCTTCCAAGGTTGTTATAGTGTTTAAAGAAGTTAAAGCTGATAAAACTTTTCTATCTGTCTTCCCTATCTCCACACCCCCATCTCCTTCCACCAATTTGAGACCTTAGAGACCACCCTCAACAGAGCAATTGCTTTAGGGCCAGCTGAGACTGCATTCAGATTGTATTTTAAATGACAAAGAATGCCTCTCTGGCTCCTAAAGGGTGAAAATGAGACAGTTTCCTATGGTGAGAGCTGAGGCTCTTGGAGCCAGCCTTCCCAGGAGCTTGCGCTGGACTCTCCAGCATCACCCCCAGAGGCCCTCTGCCCACAGCTGTGTCAACTCCAGCCTGAGCTGCTATCCTGGTCTGGTAGGCCTCAGAGCTGCCCTACTAAAATCCCCATGTAAAGTACAAAGAGGATCGTGGGGTATCACAGAACAGCTCATTGTCCCTGCGGAGAAGAAAACAGGGGAAGTAGCTTTTTCTCTTATCAAAATCCTAATCCTTTCCCAAGGGTAATCATCCAGAAATCATTGATATATATAAAGAAAGATTTCACTAAAATATCAACTAGTCACAGTTGAAAAAGCAAAGGAGGTGGTTAGGATTAAGTAGGTATTCGTCCCTACCCCAAAGAAACTTTTCAGAATAAATACTAAATGTTTCATGAATTGTCATCTAAATTCTAAAGCAAAGGGGCTTTAAAAAACTTGGTGGTTAATATTTAAGAGGGTCAGGGAATAAATAGCTCTGAGAAATGTGTCAGTTTCTCAAAGCCTGGGTGGGTGGGATAATTTACATTTAATAAGAACTTTCTATGTGCTCAAAGTCTTTCTATAAAACATGCATTATCGTATTTGTGTCTCCATTTACGTCCCTTTCACTGTTTAGGAAACTGAGGCCCAATAAGGGGCAGTGACTTGCCCATTGACCATTGATCATAAGGGCATGGAAAAGATTCAGACCCACGCCTGTTTGACTCTAGAGCCCCAATTTTTTTCCTTCTGTTGCTTTTATATTTTGTTTCAAATATCAGATCCTGTTATTTCTGTCTTCTCCTTAGTAGGAGTTTGAAGAAGATAAGAGGAATTCCACCAAAGAAAAGCTGGTTTTAAGAGAATTCCAAGTTGTTGGATTCCTGTTACCTCACAAACCTTTATGAATCCCCTATTATATGAGATGAATCAGACCAGATGACTGGGCATTATTTTGGTGCAACTTCCTCAGAGCCAAACTTTGGATGCTGGGCGGTCCATGGCTCTTTTCTTTCTTCAGCACTGGGTCCTTAGTGCCTTGCCTTACAGATTTCTCACTGGTCAGCATCACTGTTGTTTGGCAGTTTCATTGACTTTCTCAGGTCTTAAGCAGCTGGGATTATTTTGTTTTGACTACCAATCCAGTGGAGGAGTGTTTATTTTTCTTTCTAAAAGGGAAACACTGCTATGTTTGTAAGCTCCTTCTAAAAGTGTTTTCTTAAAACAAAAAATTCAACTTAATTTAGAACCTATTCAGAGTCCCTGGGGGAGTCAACCAAGGTCCTTTTAAGTCAGATTATGAAATCAGAAAGGAAAATTGTGCCTGTTTCTAACAGTTGAAAGGAAGGTCCAGTGAGATTTTTGTCTTCTTTCACTATGACTTTTGTGGAGCCTGGGTTTTTTGTTGTTGTTGTTGTTTCATGCCTACTGCAGTTACTTGGATCTGCTTATTTACCTATTTCTGGGGGTATAGAACATTGGGGTATGTAAAGTTTTCAGCAATTTTGTTCACCACTTCTCTCAACTCTTTTGCATCAAAAGACCCTCGCTGGTAAATAAATTCTTATTACATCAGCTATGTAGCAAAGTTAA